TTACCAACTGAGCCACACGCTTTTGTTGTATACAAAATAACAATAATTGATAATATATAATAATGCAAGTTAGTGGGAGACAAACAAAAACATGTGCGCCAGAATTCGAATGGTCAAATGGGAGAGTGCCACGCCATCGTCCCCAACCTCTCTCCGTTGGTAAAAGTTGGAGACTTTTACCCACGGACAAACGTCCGTCACTACAAACCCTACATATCTCAAAATCACATATAGGCATGATAAATGAAATCTAATGGTGTGAATCAAATCGCCTTGGCCTACTGAGCATCATGGTGACCTTCTTGTGGACCAATTTCACCTGTATAAAAAGATCCTAAATCGAGACAAAGAAACCTAGCAATGGTGGATTCTGATATAGCCAACAAAAATGTAATTAATTGCCACCATAAGCTTGCAAACATGTTAGGGATTCAGAATATGCTATTGAAACATCATAAATATGCAAGAATAAGGGAATACGATTTTAAAAAAAGAACCAAACCGTGAGGGTCGTGGAGATGAATTCTGGGCACAAGGATGCTTGTTTCTGATTGGTACAGCTTCCTTGTATGCCCAGGATGCGAATGGGATGGCTTAGGAATCTTGAAAATGCCTGGAAGTTGTTGCACCCCAAAATTTGCCCTCCTAATTTCTTTTATTTTGGCTTAGACTTTTGCATTCATCTGCATCTATTTCATTAGGTCACTAACATGGCATACATTTCATTCAATATAGCTCTGAGGTTCAAAGTCCAGTGATTGTGCGATACTAGGGTTGCCCAGTGGTTAAGGTGCTCGTATCCAATAAGGGATGATTTCTTGTTCAGGCAGCAAGCTGTGGAATTAGGGTTTTGGTTCATTCTCATTTTTGGATTTCTTCTCCATCAAGCTACAAGGCTATTATCTTCTGCTGAACAATAGGTTGCAGGGTATTCCTGTCAATAATATAAGGTTGTGATCTCGCGTACATGATTCAAAACACCTCATTCTTTCATTGTGCTTATCATTTGGTCAAGGTTTTGTCAATACTAGAGGGGTATTAAAATTTCTCTAAAGGATCAAGATTTGTTATCAATCCAGGATGCATATGATGCTTGCATTACAGGTTGTTGACTATGTCATTGTTGCGTTAAATTCATCTATCCTTAAGTTAATCAATTAGGATTGGGGACGTCATGATTCAAGATATTTTGTATGGTAAATTTGGTTGCTTGACAGTCAAGGCATTACGAATAATTGGTACAAGGTATTGTTTGGATATTTGTACAAGAACTTTGGTTTCAAACATGGATTAAGGTTCAACTTGATAAAAAAAGGAAATAGCATGCCCGAAGGTTTATTTCATAAATTCTTGCGGAGGAAGATGGCACATGAATATAAGTTGAGATTAAAGTATGTGGTATCAAGTAAATCTCTTCATGATTCAAGTTGTTATTTTCAAGATTATCCCATATTATTGTTCATCCCAAAGTAAAAGATAAAAAGATTCATTTAAATAACATTCGAGTGTTTATCATGTTTGTCTCAAGTTCATTCAAGTATCCATTCAAGCTCAAACTAAATGAGAGAAATGTTTTGAATAATTGGAAATTTGTCATGCAAGAAGTTATAAAGTTTTGTTCATTACAAATTCAAGCCATTACACCGAAGTTACAAAAGACATCTCAGTCATCAAAGTTTCATATTCCAAGTACAAATCATCATCATTTTTACAAATATGTCATCATTCAAGGTTAAAAGTCAAGGGTCTCCATTCATGCGAGTTTTATGTGCGAGGTGTTTAAAATTGGAAGTTCAAACATCGAAATTTGAGTTTTAAGATCCAAAGCATGGTGTACAAGTTTGTTTGAACCAAAGCTCTTATAGGAATATGGCATACAAGGGAAATTTTGATTCAAGTTCTTGTGAAAACACATAAGACACTCATCATGGAGTACCATGGATTAAATTTGAGGTCGGATGGGTAAAATTCCTTAATTTGACTAAAAAGTGATCAAGGCCTCCATTTACCAAAAGCTAAGAAACTTAAAGAATGTTTAGAAATGGCATAATTCAAGAGGTTCCATCTTGTAAAAAAAAAGCTCATAAATAATAGACATGGAATTTTGAATTGTAGCAAGTTTCAGCATATTCAGGTTCTATCAGTTACATCTCATTCAAGCCTCTGCTTTGACTACATAATTCTCAAAATATACAAAAGGCTACAAATTTACAAAGGAAAACAAATTTCTATTACAAGTCGGAACTATTCCCATCCATGGTCATTCAAATTATTCAAATTACTCAAGTTCAATCATTCGAGCGTCTTTCATTCACTCATGTTACAATACATGTCATTTCAAGATTACAAAACAAAGCTACAAAGGCCCTATTGAAACTTAGGGGCATTAATTATAAATGGCATGAGTTTTTCAATAATACCAACAGAGTTGCAGTTGTTATGCTATGGTTACCTGTTGTGCTGATATACTTCATGGATTTGCAAATATGGTATTCGATTATCTCTGTCGTTGTTGGTGGTACGATTGGTTTGTTTTCACATTTGGGTGAAATTCGGAATATCTCACAACTAAGGCTTCGGTTCCAGTTCTTTGCCAGTGCAATGCAATTCAATCTGATGCCAGAAGAGAAGTTACTAAGTCAGCAGGCAACGTTGCTGAGGAAGCTTCGCGATGCCATCCATCGGTTGAAATTACGATACGTGCTTTAAACCCCCGACATGGGATCCTTCTAGTTTTAAAGAAAACTTATTTTATAAGTTAAATGAAAAATTTGAACCCAATACAAAAGCAACCAGTTCAGCCTTGCATAGAAAGATTAAAAAGCCAAAAATAAGAATAAAACTATCTGAAAAAAGAAACTAAATCAGCGTTTATTCAAGAAAGAAAACCCTAAATCAACCCATTTGGAACTGTATTGAACTTGCCGGAAAACGCAACCGGAGTTGTTCGTGACCTGCCAGAAACAGTGAGAAAGCCTGGCTTATATCTTAGATGATTTAGGCAACCAAGTCTTTCTCTGGCTTAAAACAAGACAAGCTTGCTGTATTCATTTGGCAAAAATGACAGAAATCCTAAGCTACACTGCTTGCAGACAATTGTCTCAAATGTTCATTGCAGTTATCTTCTTTCATGTTTCAGAATATTTTCTAGCCGCCTTCATTCATGGAAAGTCAAGTGTAACTTTGAAGTCCCTTTTGATTAGCAAACACTATCTTTTAGCAATGGTATTTTCATTGCTGGAATATTTAATTGAGGTTACTTTCTTTCCCGAGCTAAAGGAATATTAGGTTATCAGTGATTTAGGCCTAGTACTGGTTGTTGTAGGGGAAATTATAAGGAAAACGACAATAATAACAGCAGGGCAATCTTTTACTCATATGATAAGGGTTCGTCCTGATGAACGTCACCAATTGGTTACACATGGTATTTATAAATTTATTCGTCATCCGGGGTACTGTGGTTTCTTAATTTGGTCTGTTAGCACTCAAATAATGCTATGTGATCCTTTATCAACTATTGGATTCGCAGTTGTTGTCTGGAAGTTTTTCAATAGTCGAATACCATATGAGGAATACTTTTTGAGACAGTTTTTTGGAATGCAGTATGCTGAATATGCCCAACAAGTTGGGTCCGGGGTGCCATTTGTAAATTGAAGACGTGTCATATATGTCCCGTAACATTCACTGCAAAGTAATCGTTGAAGTTATAAGTTTAGACCCATTTTTCCTCTAACATTTTCTACCTTCTAACCGCCTAACCAATTTCTAATTAACTCATTCAACTGTCCTAACTGAATTCTAGCATTTTTTTAACTAACTTTCACAAACTTAACAAACTTCCTCCAACCTCCAAACTAATTTTAACCAATTCCAATAACTAACTTCCTCATAACAGAATTTTTGACAACTAATTTTAACTAATTCCATAACAGAATTTTATAACCAAACTCCTAACAAACTCCTAACAAACTCCTAACAAACTCTAAACAGTTTCTAACCAAATCCCATCTTCTAAATAATATAGCAGAAAATCTATATAACAGGGAGATTATCATTCAGTTGGGAGAGGATGATTTTATGATTCAACACAAAAAAAACTCACCTTCCAATTCTCTCTGAAATCGCATAATCATCAATATTGCTTTATCATCTTCTGAAACTTCTTCACAATTCTTACTCTTCTCTGCAACCACCGCAAATTACTCCTCCAATAGAATTTCATCAACTTCATCTTCATGTTCTTTAAATCGCCCCTTCACCAGAATTACTCTACTCTTCATCACCCTCTTTCATCTTCAATAAATTGGATATCACAACCTCGATGCTTCAATGATTATCAACCCTACATCGCGTTTCTCACTGCAAAAACAAACGCCAAGTATCAATTCCTCACATCAGTCTAGATTCAACCATCATCACCGAGTTTTCAACATTTACAACTTTGTTCAAAACTGCAAGAACAGAAGAAGAATGGAATGGAGGATGTACCTGATTTGTAACTGGATTTTCGGTCATTACAACATTGTCAAAAGCATATCAAATGGGTCCCGGTTGATCTTTCGTGAACGCTCCCTTTAGTCTCCATTCTTTGCGGTTTCCACCCTCATCACTGAGCTTTGAGTCTCGTTTCTCTGAATTCATCATCAATCATGTTTCTCACAATAACAGCAGGTACAGAAGATAAAGAAAAATCAAGAAAAGAATAGCAAAAAACAGAAAAAGAATATTCGTAACAACCTTCTCTACACTGCATTTTCCTTGCCTTTGCTTCTTCAACGACCACATCAATTTGCAAATGCGTCACAACTTCACATCACAACTTCATACCATAATGGTGTCGTAACTACACCATACCGCAACGACTTCCTACCAACAACAACTCCTCTTGCAACAAGAACAACAATGCAAAGAGCGCATCAACATAATCGCAGAAATTCACACGGGAAGATTAATCATGAATTTACAAGACCATCTGAATCGGAAGTGTATATACCCGAGCCTTAGCCGATATTCTCTGGTTCACTCGTCATCATCTTCGGCTTGGAAAATCGATGAAAATTCTTTGGCTGACGAAGACACGAAGGAGATAAATTTAGACGACAAGCTGGGAAGAGGAGCGACGATGGAATCTTTGAAGTGGAATCCATCAATTGCGAAGACGATGATGTATGATGGCAGTACGCCATTTGTGAGAAGAATTTCATTGTTGTGATCGAAGGAGATTCGAGATGGGGGTTCAGAGTGGAATCGTAGCAAGTGAAGAATTGCGGTCGTTGGAGGTGAGATGATAAAGCCGCGGTGGATGGATTCATGAAAGAGGAAGAAGAAGTTGGACCGTCAATTGCTGGAACCCCATCCTTTGGCCCAAACGGCAGCGTATTCATTCCTCTCTCTCAAATCTACTGTTAATTTATTCCTAATAATTTTGTTTTGTAAATCAATTAACAATATGCTGGTCAATGGAGGTTTGTGGACGTGTCAATTGTACTACCACTTTGAATGGGCATGGACCGAAAATGCTGGGCCCATAACAATTTTATTTTGAGAATGTCTTGAAGCTTGCTCCAAAAATGCTTAATGGACCTCATTCTGGTTGGATCTAGCGCCCCAATATTAGTCAGACACCCTGATTTCAATACTACGCCCCTTGTCCTCATAATCTTTAAGATTTTATCTTTGCACATAATTTTGTCCATTTTTTTATGATAAAATTCTAAAATCCAAAAGAAAACTTGTTAGTTTTTTTATTTAGGAATTAATTCTTGTTTGTTAGAATTTTCTTAAAAAAATAATAATAAAAAAGAGGTAGTATATAATAGAATTTTTCTAGAATTTCTTTTTAAAATTTTAATTAGAATTTTCTATTAGCATTTATGTTTAGTAACCATTTTCGTTTTCATCCTTAGTTAAGATTTTGTTCGGATATTGATGTAACTTTCGCAATGGGAAATGCTTGGATATTAATTTTCGATCACTCATGCGGAGTAACTTCTGTAGAGTTTTCTTACCACTTGTGGGACTTTGAGGAGGCAACGGACCTTCTTCGTTCGGTATCGTCACAACCTTATTTTATCCCTCATTTCGCACTTTATTGCATTTCTTTATCGCAAACCATATGCATGCTAACATTAGGTAGAATTCCTTCAAAATTCTAACTTTAGGTCTAATACACAATAACATTAGGTTTAGAAATAGGCTAGTCCCCCTTTGACTTTTCTTTCTCTTTTCGCATACGCATCTAAAACAAAAACTTCTTTCTCTTTCAAAATTCAAAACACTTTAAATTTACTGACTAGAATCATATCTTCGTTAAGTATGTGAGACGATAAGCGGGTCTTTTCTCGACATTATTGTTCTCTTATTCTAAGCTTCGGCGTGGTTCAAGTCTCAAAGACTCATTTCATGAATAAGTAGAGAAATGGCTAAAATCTCTCTCTTGAGATTAACTAACTATTATCTACAAACAAAAACACCAACAAACATAAAATTCTTTTTGCCTTCGGGCCTTCCTTTCAAAAAACTTTTTTCAGAAAGAGTGTACTAATTCACTTCTATGCTGACGCGTAAGTCTCCAAAGGTCGAGTTGCGGCAGAAGGCGAGATTACTATCGTTCATTCAAAAACAAACGAATTCAAAACTTTTTGTGCGTCCAGGCACATTTCTTTCCAAACTTTTCAGAAGAGCATGTTAATTCACTTCTGTGCTGACGCGTAAGTCTCCAACGATCGAGTTGCGGCAGAAGGCGAAATTAATAATGTTCAGTAAAAAATACAAACAAACAAAAACATATAAGCCGAACTACGACTGCTCTGATTCCTTAAAAGGGATGCGTAGGCATCAGGGTAGGGCCCGAACGAGCACAACTTTTATTTTCCCTACATTTTCCCCTTTCTTTCGCATGCATCCTTCCAGTAGCAGTAATAAACAGTAAGCATAGATTAAACACACCCATAAAATAAATAACAAGAGTGGATACCGTAGAGAACTACGGGCGTGTGGGGTGCTAATACCTTCCCTTCGCGTAACGGACTCCCTTACCCTTATCTCTTGTTCGTTCGACCTCGATTTCACCCTTCTCAGGTTTTCTCGATGTTTACCTTTCCCTACCTTTGGGATAAAAGACGTTCGATGACGACTTCATTGTTTGATGATTTTCAGCCGGTTGTTTCAGCTGGCGACTTCACTGGGGATCTGGTCGACCAAATGCTGGTCCATCCCAGAGTCGCTCCTAGCTCTTGTTTTCTTTTCTTTGGGTGTTTATTGTTATGCTTTCAGTTTACTCATTTGTACATGTTTATCTGAGCATAAGTTTGCATTGCATTTTTATGGCTTTCCATACTTGTTATCTATTACGCTGGACTCTGTTCTCTATGTTGGGTGGGGATGTTACTTTTGAGGTAAAAGGCCCAGTACCCAGGCCAGAGTGCACTAGGACACCTAGGAATAGAGAGGGGGCATGACGGCTATAGAAAGTGGTCCGATTAGTGCAGTCATGTCATATACCACGCTCGGATGAGGTTCAAATGAATTACTATCGGCACCCATGTATGTGGGTAAGCCCATAGTGCTTTCAGGCGAACCCGTGATTTTCGAGTTACCATTGTCTTACCCTGACCTAGTCTTCACCCGTGAGTGGGGAGGGATTTGTCATTACAGGTACAGTTAGTGCTATGTTTAAATGGTTACTCATGCTCAGATGGAGACTGTGATCAGATGGTGATTAGTGGTTCTAATGATCATATTATGGACTTCTGTCAATGACTTATGCATATGGTGTTCTGTTGGTGACCATATGGTTCTCAGATTTATTTTGAGTTCCTGACTTGCTTACTTGGAAGTTCATTCAAGCCTTTGATCTTGGCATTCCCAGCATACTCAGAAATGCTCAAATAGTACCCGATGTTCCTGAAGCCTTGATCTCATGCTACTTAGATCTACATAGTACTCGGCTTTTATATGTGCGGAAGCTATGTCAGACCTTTGATTTGACGATATTCATATGGTTCAGAATAACGCAGCAATCATATTTGGAAATGATGGAACCTTGATCCCATTTGATCTCATATTTGTGCATACATAACATGGGTAACCACATACTTAGCATACATGTTCTATGATTTCCAAGGAATCGTATTTGTAAGCCTTATGCCAAACTTTTCCATCTTTTGCTTACGTAAAATCAAAATCAAAGCACGTAAACTCCTTGGGAATGAAGGGACATAACATGGCATCTATTCATGCACTCCATGCATATTCATGCATCCATAACGGGTACTCAAAGATTGGGGATTCTTATTCAGACATGGTTCTCCTTGGAGGTTTAACTTTGATTTATTACTGCACTTGTTCAGGGATCGGTTATGGAATAGCTCTGAGTGATATACATGCAAGCTTTGGCCCGTAGTCAAAAATATCTTCAAGCAGGAAGATAATTGATTGAAAACTCAGATGAGATAGGTCATGAAAGCTATGATGACGATGTCAACAATATTGCACCTACTATCACAGTAAAGGTTCTCTCTTCTCCTCATCTTTTGGGAATTGCTTCCAACCATGGAGTGCTACGCAATCCTGAGTTCTTAGAACATCTTATCAGGAGATGATTCCCATTTACTATGTGATCTTATATCAGTGCTTCGTTCTTGTTGTTAACCAACATCAGATGCGGTCGCCACGCCGGGGCATTAGACTTTTTAATCAGGGGCATCCTCCATAACTTTGTGTTCCCAAATTTGTTCAACATAGCCAGTCTTTATTCCCCAAGTGAATTCATGGGGAAAGCTTTTAATCCAAGAGACAAGAACTCTGATGAGCATGCTAATGCGAGCCCAATGCATTACATCCTATTATTCCCAGTTCTTCCCAGCTTTGATCTTTGAGGACTTCCTCCCACAAACGTCTCTTATGATTACAAAATGTATGCTAGATGCCTCCCCTATTCCGGGGTACCCGGTTTTGATATTGAAGACTACAAAGGAGTTATAAAAGCCCAACACTTGTTTGGCGTCTCTTCCAAAACTCCCTTTCACCAGGTGTATGTCTCTTTTGTTTTGATAGAAGACAGGCTGTATTAGTTTTTTTGTGGCATAGTATGCCTGATGATGCAGTTTTCACTTGAAAAGGCATTCAGTTATTCTCCTGAAAGAATCTTCTAGGCATATTATTCTGGGGCAATTGATCATTCGATTGAAGATGGTACATCATCTAGAGATAAGGTCCAAGACGAGATCAATCCAGAGACTGTGGTGTCCAAATCATATCAGAAGAGGAATTCTCTCACTCCCCTCATGCATCTTCATGCATCTTCGTGCATCCATGGAAGGTACTCAGAATGGGGAATCCTTACTCAGGCCCGATATTTTCTCTTCAGAATTTGTGAATCTTGACTTCTCACCACTCTGTTATCCAAGAAAGCAGTGGAATAACTCCTTAGGGAGTTCAATGAGATGGGGTTGTTTATTTGGGACATGCCAAAAATGACCTGTAGTCAGAAATCCTCAAAGAAAAAATAGCCAGTGGAAGACTTAGTTGAGTCGGGTATGGAAATTATGAAGACAATGTCGGCAAATAAAAATGATCTTGTATACGTTATTGCAACGGGAGTTGTCATTTATCCCCAGCCAATGGGACCTTTTTTCAAGTCATAAAATACTTTGTGGGTCTCACCCAGAGTTTCGTGTTCTCGTATTTTCTTGCTAGCATCTAGTTTCTGATCTCCAAGTGAACTCATGAGGTAAAACTTACCAGCAGAGACAAAGAAAGCTTGAGAAGCGGGTTAATACAATCTTTATACCTTGTATCCGGTTACTTCCTCGTGGTGTTGGAAGCTCAGTTGATTAAGCTTCGCGCTTTGAGCCATCCTCCAACAAATTTCTCTCCTGATTTTGATACAAATGCTTGATGTGTCTCCCGTTCTGGGGCATTTAGTCAAGATATTGAATACTGCAAGGGGTTGAAGTATGAAGTTTAGTACTTGTTTGGATTCTTTTCCAAGGTTCAGTCCACGTTTAGGAAAACCATTTCAGACTCTTTTTCCTCAGCTGATTGCTTCTTATGTGTAAGTATAAGATGGGGGTGATGCTTCTATGATAAAGAAGTATAAGACGTCGAGTTCTTGGATATCTGTTGTTGTATAGAAGAAAAATACCTCAAAGGTCGAATGCTATATTCAGAGTTCAGTTTCTTCTGTGTAGTAGAAGATTCTATGTTACAGTTTCTGAATTTTTGCTTCTGTGTAGTAGAAGACAGAGACTCTTTTGTGAAGTAGGAGATTCTCCGTAATTCGGTTGCTAAAACTTCTCTCTTGTGAAGTAAGATATGAAGTTTACTTTCTTCTGTGTAGTAGAAGATTCTTTGGTATGGTTGCTGGATGTTGCTTCCATGT